TAATTAAACTAAATACCTAATTTCTTGTCATTTTTCTTTTACTTGTACTGTCTGAGTTGTTTTTTAAGGCAACAACAATAGTCGTGTTTCCTTCGGGGCTGTAAACGGACCATATAAACTCAGATTACAGTAGTTCTTAAAATCCAACATTAGACACACTAACAATGGGGAGATGCAGGTAAATTATCTTTCTAGGGAACCAAACAGGTTTACCAGTCTTACATTAATAAGGAATGAAAGGGTAATAGTGAGGAACATGAAGTATTTTCACAAGAAAAAATGTAAATTGTAAAAAACATAACCAGAAATTAAAGTTTATACAGTCCCAAAACACTTTGTAAATATATTCAAAAAAGGTATGACATTTTCCAGCATCCTTTACAGTATGTATCTGGATCGATTTTTATAATCCAGTTTATGAAAAAATTCCATACTGTTTAAAAAAATCAATGAATAATTTATTGCGCTTTACCGTATAGTCAAAATGATGATAGCGCATAGCATACAATTTACATTATATAGTATATTTGTTTAGGATTTATCCACAGAGGCTTTGTAATAATGGAATAATGAAACATGCATGTCAGAATTATTTTGCTATTAATAAGAAACAGTTTAATCCCTCTTAATGTGTGTTAAGGCAAGATTATAATTGGCATGTTATTTACCAGCAAAGAAGCTGAGGGTTAGGAAGGACATGCTCCAGCTGACTGTAGTTTGTTATGCTGAATGTTAGAACTGCCGGGGAAGGATTATTGGCAAAGTGCCTTGTGATTCCAGCTGGAAATGAGAGCACCATTTCTCCAGTAATCTTCACCACACACCTTGAAAGGTAAAGGCAAACAAAGGAGCAATAACACAAGAAGTCAGCTTCCTGCATGTCATCACAAAATGGTAAAACAATTAAATTGACTGCAACAGAAATTCATCAGCACCTTTAACTAAACAAAAGCAAGCTTATTTTGTTCTCTGCGGTTCAAGTAGTACAGTATGATTTCTCTTTTGCCTCATGTTGGGGAAATGTATTGTAATTTTAAAAGACGTGCCAGTGAAATAAAAATCAGTCCAAAAATAAAAGAACTCCAATAAAAACAATTGAGAAAAATAGGGGGTCATATATATATATATTTTTAATTTGTGTTTATCAGTTTATAATGCAACATAATTGCATATTTGCACTGTTTTGAGTGTTAACTTCATAACCACCTACTTTACTGGAAGAAACTGAAGCTCTTAGCAACAAACATTTACAACCACGCCACATGGCTATTGCATAATGTCCAGTATGGATGACAAATAAATAAGTGTTTTTGCTTTGCAAATGCCTTTCTAAAAGAATAAGATTTTGCCTCAGGGTAGTCAAAAGTGGCTATTCTGTGTAAATCTTGGGGACAGGTATTTGATTGACTTATACAGTACATTTTTTCAGCTCTTGGCTTTTGTCTATATTCGTTTGACAGTATCTTAGCTGGTTCCCATAGAACAATGTATGTTAAATTAATGAGTAAAAGGTTTTTTTTTTTTTTTTCTTTTTTTTGTTATCAAATAAAATTAAATTCTATTCAAAATACGTTATTCATTAATTTATTCATCCTGAAGGGGGCAATTTAAGATTGAAAAAATGATTTGGTGAGGGGCACAACAAGCTGCCTCCATGTTTTGATATAACATAAGAACAAAACTACTGGCTTACTTGCTTGGATCTGCTCCTTTAAAGTATGCATTCACAGTCTCTGTGAAAGCAGCAGCCACTGGGAGAGTGTCCTGTGCACCCATGGTTAATGGGCTTGGGCCTCTGGATGATCCTGCAACACAGCACGCAACAGCTACTCATTGGTGCTGTCGCAACGTAGAACAAAGCAGAGCACACAATGCTAGCACTTTCAAGAGACAATAAAACACCACACTTAATAGCCATAATCTCAGAGCCCTCACAGCTAACATCTAATGTACACGACACCTTCTCTTTCCATACTGATGTTTTAGTCATGTTTTGCTTCATAATGGTCCTGTGTCCTTCATTACATTACTTATTCTTAAATGTATTTTTACATTTTATTTGCTTTATTCAATAAAGAGGGTAGTTTTGCCCCTTCAGTACATGAAAGATGGAAATGGAGAAATAAAAATACAGTAAACCAAGTATTTACTTTACTGGAGATGTGTATGACTGATATTTTATGACTCATGCTTTGTTCCCTGTGTATCCCTTCTAATTCATTAACTGTGTTGTATGTCTCTGTTTGGACACACAGCTGTTTTGACAGTTAAGAACAGCCTTCTTGCTTATAAATTTTAAGACAAATGTATTGTTAATTAGTACATAGAAAAATAACATAACCCTTATAAAGGGTTATGTTAGTTTTTTGTTTTGTAGTAGTGTTTTTTGTTAAGTTTATTTTTTTAGTTTAGATTGTGTTCTTTTAATATATGGTGTCTGGTTTTATTTGTATAATTATTGTTATGTATGCATTATACTTATTATATGTATCGTATAATAAAGAATTAATTAGCAGCCACTTTAAGATTGTAGTACTTGAGAGTTTGTTACTGAAGCAATCAGTCTTAATAATGCAATTTCTGTTGCATTTTATATTACTGTAATTTAAATTCTGATACATAAACTTACATACAGTATACACTTTCCTTTAAACTGTGTACAGATAGATTTCTGAGATTTTATATTACAATATGATTCTAATTTATAATAGCAGTGAGACCTACAGTACATACTTTACTTGTGGAAATAAATAATAATGTTTTCTTTTTTAATGACCATTGGCAATCCACAACTTTCTGATTAATTTAAAATACTGAGAATGAGAAAGAAAGCACAGAAGTCCTACATAACAAGAGGATACTTATAGTTCTAGGAGTCTGGAACCACAGGCAAGATGGCACTGTGTTGTTTTCTGTCCTCGGTCAAATTGAATCACTCTATATTCCCCTCTCAGTTTTATCCAGGAAGGACTCAGCTCCCATAAGGACTAACTTTGCCTGGCAAAAAAATAGCCTCAGACTGCCTGTCAGAAAATACATTTTCCTTAAATGTTCTATTATACACATCCAGAAGTCTATCTCATGGTGGTTTCTACTGATTTAAACAAGATCATATTTTGGTAACTAATGAAAACAAGAACAAATGCCTGTTAGTGTTATGTTTCTTTTCACAAATTAGCACAGGCTTTACCACGGTTCTAGCTCAGGTTTACAAGCACCTTTTGAATCACCTCTGAAATGTTTTCTATGACTCATACTGTCACTTTAACCCCACAGCTTGATGGGATAGCAGAGCTAACTACACCATGATCTTCCACTATTATGTATGGAAAGGAAATAAAAGTGATGTTTTTTCTAAAGCACCCTGACGTAACTAGTAAATATGCTGAATTTATTTCTCCAAAGTCTACAAAGTCCTTGAATAACAGTTAAAAGGCCTGATAATCTGTCTGTGAGACATTTTCATTTTACTGCGTCTTTTGCATCAAGAGCAAAAATGACTAACGTCAATGTTATGTACAGATAAATATAAAAATATAAATCCCGATATTTGCAATACTCATCAACCATAAAACCAGGCTACATTGCACATTCAAAAACCAAACATTCCTGTGTGAATACACCAAGTATTCAGAATAAAACAATTGAGTACACTCTTATAAGGGTTACATTTTGGTTAAGGGTCAGGATTCTACAATACCAAGATCAGCCAGTCACAAGACCTGTTGTTAGAGTACTATTATCATATACTGGAACTGAACAGCATCTGAAATAGGAAAAACGAGACTCGTGCAGGACCTAAACATGCAGTTAGTGGTAAGAATCATTCTGAAAACTGCTTTAGCCAAAGGAAGAATAGAACCAAACTGAAAGGGGAAAAAATCAAGAAGTGAAAAACTTGTGAAGTGTAATGAACAAAGAGATGAAAGGCCGCCACTGCATGAGGAAAAAAAGCTGTAGGGCAGGGATGGAGGTGGAGGTATCAGGGAGAGGCAGGATGTTAGGAGGGCTGGGAAGGAAAGCTGGAAGAGATGAAAGTCAAGTGTGCTACATTGCTGTACACAACTTACCTTCGAAGGTTAAATAAAACTTTCCTCTGTCAAACCATACCAGGGAAGGCTGGTCATTCTCTGTGTGGACGGGATTTGAAGTGGGGTGGGCAGGGCAGGGAGAGAGAAGGACAATAGTGTGAGTCACATGGCAGGTCTACCACACGTCACTGTGGGTGGGAACACAAGGCACTGCAAGCCATTATTTTCAGAGGGGATAGGGCTCCTCCTTTTTCTGCTCACTGGCTTGGTATCCATGATGGTTCATTGGAATGCAGAGGTTGCAGTTTTAGAAATGAAGCAAGCCATGACAGCATAAGGAGAAGAAATTTGGTGCCAACATTTATGGCCACAGCTGTCGCATGTATGCCGACATTTTGAACATGTAGACACGTGCAAATAGTTCACACTGTTTTGTATTGTGTGCAGTAAGGGCACTTCCTTCGCAGGAAACATAATTTTAATTTGTATTATTAACAATAACTAGGTAACTAGGGGTATAATGTCAAACTGTTTGGTGCGGTGCTCCATTTGGGAATATGCAGTAGCTTCAGTCATCACAGGCCAAAATGAAGGAAGCTTTTCTGCCACTTAAGTTAAAATTATGTTCAAATAAAGGTTTTGATTTTGTTTATATTCACATGTACTTTGCTAACGTTTATGGTTTCTGTAATGAAGCAAATAAAACTAATTACATAACTGGCAAGTACCTGAATGTTAACTGTGCCATAAAGATATTTCTTAGGTAAATTGAATCCTTATGCAAAATACTGTTTCATTGAGCAGCATTGTTTTCCTTCTGACCGATCGCTCCCTTTGCTGTATTGCACTGGGAGCTGTATTCCAAAAGGTCTTTGAGAATGGCCAGATGTGAGTCAGCAAGTGAAGTTGCTTACAGAGAGAGCAGGGGGTAGACTGGAGGGCAGCACAAGGTAAGACAGACTTTTTTTGAAGAGGCGAGACGTAGGAGAGGGGAATGGAAGATGGAGAAGCTCAAGAGGCAAAACAAAAGTTTGGAGAGGAAAGGAAAATAAGGTATCGTAGCAGGCTAAAAAAAGGAGAGCTGATGGAGAAAAAAGTCAAAAGGGACTCTTTGAAAGAGGGTCTGGAACTCAGTTTTAATAGCTTGGAGAAAGAAAGTCTGAACAATAGTTGAAGTGATTTGAACAGCTTTCACAACTTTAATTAGCCTGCAGTTATTCAAAGGTAAGCATGCAGTGGTGTCTCATTTGAAACTGTCCTTTTTTTCGGAACCTACAGTAGTGCTCAGATGAAAAAGAAGGTGCAAAACCTTAAATCAAATCATCCATAGTGCATTCAGCATCAGATATAATTCAGGTAAATTCTAACTTACTATATAATTATAGAATATCTGACCAGCAATAAAAATGTGTCTGTGAATCTGTGATGTTCTGTACTATCCTGGCTGATACAAACTGCAGACAATACCATATTAAATTGTTTGAATCATCACTTGAAATCAAACTAATCAAACTATAGGAAAAGTAAAAATTAAACTGGCTTGCATATTTTTAATTCTAGAAAACGGAAGATAGAAATGATACATGAGCACAATGTGCCTCATATATGATTGCCATTTAAACAACTACATCCTGACAAAGTTTACCTTTTCATAGGAATGGTATTAAAGACATGTAACTTTGGCTGTCATTGCATGTGTAAGAAGTAAAACAGCAAGAAACAAAATTTACCATGCTCGATATGGTCCTACTTTGTATAAGTGATGTTGGGAATGCAAATCTGCTGTCCATAGTCTTTAATCTATGCTCTTCATTACACCCATCAGCACGAAAGTGATGCCTGCCATTCTAAACACTAATAAGTTTTCACTACTATGATCTTTTGTTCATCAAATGGCATCATTAATGGTATACGCACCTATGCAGAAAGTACACGCATTAGAAATATACTGTCTAATTCTGCTGGCATAATGGCTTGTTTTGTGATATTTCAATGTCCCTGGTTCCTGTAGGCTGATACAATACCTGCAGGTGTATCACTGCGCCTTTCAAACGTGGGTAGTTTGTCAACAAATGCGTCATCTTCTGACATTGACAAAAAAGATAAGCCAAAGAAAAGGAAACAAATGTAAAAGCAGAAATCAAGAATGAAATGTCAGTGACTTTTATGTATGCCTTCTGAGATTCAGATTTCTAAAACATTAAAAAAGAAAAAGTCATGCTTAAAAAATGGAAAAATGCAAAACAAATATGAAACTGAACATAAAATGAACTGAAACCATCAACCCATCTGTTTCAACACCTGACCAATTTCTTAGTCCTCCAGAACAACGCAATACATGAAGTAATACAGCATACAACACTTGGTTATGTTATCATTAGAATTTTCTTTTCAACTGTTGTAAGGAACTGTATACAGTACATCAACTGAATGTTTAAGGGACCATCACAGTTTAAATTCTATAGTAACATCCAGTGTGAATTATTATGATACTTATTGCTAAATAATAAAATATAGACAGGAAAATACATTAATAAAATATGTAATTACACATGCACTTTCTAGATACCTTCTCAGCCAAGTAAAAAGACAAATGTTATCATAGCTGCTCAAAGTGTCTGTTCAGTTTCCTTTAGAACATCCACCATATTGCTCTTCACAAGAAAAAAATGTATGGTGCTGTTACACGATACGTCTGCTTAGATTGTGTGCTATAAAAGTGGTAAAACTAAGGCTTCAGGCCAAAACAGAAAATGTCAGGTCATTACAAAAATCATCCAGTCACCCCTAAAAAGATTCATAACATTAGTTGACGCTTAGCAGAAAATCAAACATTGTAAAAATGTCAAATATAAGGCTGAGAAAACATCAGGCATTTGAAGATGATGGTAAGGAATTCGGACCTGAGACAGAAATGGAGAGGTCTTTACCGACTGTGGGTGTGGTAGCAGCACTGAGGGAGTTGGTCGATGATATGGAGGAGGTACTTTCAGCACGAGCCAAGGGGGCAATAGGTGGGGGGCTGGAGGAGTGGATTGGAGGGCTGAAGGGCCGGGCCTAAAATAATAAAGAAAACAAGGATTTAGCATCATGGCACCTGAGGCAACAATGAGATCTCTTTTGTTAGAGTAAGTCAATATAATTAAAATAATAAATATCAAATTACATGATAAAAATGATAAAAAACAAAAGGAAAAGCTAAAAAAATTGTTCAGCAAATAGACTTCTGAAAAGTATGTTAAAGTTGCCACATCAAGGTTAGTATCTTCAGTTTTAGAAAATTACAGGAGAACTAAAACTTGAACTTGAACTTTATTGCCATATGTAACCGGTACTGGCACAATGGAATTCTTACTTACAGAAAGTCTCTCGATTGTAAAACAAGTGTAAAAAACAAGACAAAGTGCAAACAGTGCATCAAGACAATGTACAAACAAACAATAGACAATGTGCAAGTTAACATGTAGACAGTTTGAATGTAAACAATACAGACGTGTAAACAATGACTGGAGATGTGCAATAGATAAGAAATCATAAAGAGGTAGATGGTGATGGTGTAGGTGTGGACCGAGGGGGATGGCTGAATGTGTTCGCCAGTCTCACTGCTTGTGGATAGAAGCTATTGAAGAATCTAGTGGTAAGTGTCCGTATGCTCTTATATCTCTTGCCTGAGGGCAGTGGGGTGAAGAGCTCATGCCCGGGGTGGTGACTGTCCTCTGTGATGGCCAGAATTCTACCACGGCAGCGGTCCTCATAGAGCTGTTTAATCTCAGTGAGACCGCAGCCGATGATCTTCTGGGCCATATTGACTATTCTCTGCAGTGCCTTTCTTTCTCGTGAAGAGGTGTTGCCATACCACACGGTGATCCCGTTGGTGAGGACGCTCTCGATGGTGCAGCGGTAGAAGTTCACCAACACATGTATTGGCATCCCCCATCGCTTGAGGCACCGCAAGAAATAAAGGCGCTGCTGAGCCTTCTTCATGATAGAGTCAGTGTTTACAGTCCAGGTTAGGTCTTTAGAGATGTGAATTCCCAAAAATCTAAAGCTGGTGACTGTTTCCACTTCCGTTCAATCAATACTGAGTGGGCTGTGAGTGTGTGGCCTGTGTCTCTGAAAGTCCACTATTAGCTCTTTCATTTTCTTACAGATACCATAACAGGTAATGTGTTCACAGCAAAAGAAATGAAAACTTGACAACATAATTGGCTTTAACCATCTAGGTTTGAGGAATAACACCCAGGTCAGGTTGACAAGGCAGTTGAAACCAACCTACAGTATAAAAATAACCCAAGGGGTGTCAAGCTGAGGTACTGTCTTTTAAACGTTCGTCATGAACTCAATTTAGCATAAATATACTCAAAATGCACTGCCTACACAGTTCTTTTAAAGCTCAAAGAGATTAAATGTTTATTTTTTAGCATTGCTAAAGACACCTGTGTATACGACACATACCACATCCCCAACTGCAGGCTTCCCAGGGGGCAGTCTGGGACGAGAAGGTGGCCTTGGGGGTGGAGGAGGCGGAGTGGGGCTGCTGCCCAATGGCGTCGCAGGACGAGCTGGGGAAGACGAGCCTGCGATCCAACAGTTTCAGAGTAGCCAGTCAAAACCTGAATAATATTTACTACAAAACTTTTGGTGGTGTCTGTTCTTTGAAAACTCCAGTAGCTCTAAAAACTCCTTCTTATTGATCTTTCACTGGTGCTTTCAAATCAGTCACTCACTATCTAGTTTATCTTGAACCTAGATGGTTACATTGATTCTTACATTGACAAGCTGTTATTTATCAGCTTTCATCTCAGTCTGAAAGTGTCATTTGTGATTTCTGATGTTTTTGTAAAAAAATTCTACTGCACTTTCAACTTTGTTACAAAAACTAAGTCTGTCTTACTCAAGAGCTTTAAAGCCTTCTTATTCTCTTTGAACACAATTTTATATCTAATTTATAGTACATTAATTTCTTTTTGATTGGTTTATAATCTTATAAAAAAAACGTATACAAAGGGTTTTTGTCTTCCTTTGCAAGATACAGTAGGAATAGTTCTCTCATATTCTTTCACGTAAATAGTGGACCTGAAACTACATTTCAGTTCAAATGGAACATTGGTTACTTTTCACACAAGTACAGTATTTAATCACTCTTCTACAAAATGCCTTATAATCCAGTACTTAATACTGTCTGTTTATTTGGTAGTTCAAATTTACATTGAATCTTAACTCTTTGATAACCACTGATATCAAGAGTCTGAGATTATGATTTCAATTTGCTTTTTAACTAGTATACTACAGGAAATGTACTCATAAGATCAGTAAATCTTTACGAGATAAAGCACTCTGAAGTTTGTCATCTGCAATGTAAAACCACGTTCAAAGAGAAATGTTTTAAGTAAATGAGTGGACAGCTGGAACAGCTACTATCACTGAAGTCCTACACATCTATTAGAAGGATAAGCCTGAGAATTAAAAGTCTAAGCCTCCAAGGCAACACAGACAAGCAGTGTCTGGCGTTTTCAAGTACACAGCATAGAGGACTAAGAAAAGGAATACAAAAACCTGTCTATGTAGCCAAAGCTATTTTGTTGATTTTTTACTGTTTCACAATTATAGAAAAATAATCTTTGTGTTATAGGTCAGTTCAACAATAAAACTAGATCATAAATAATTCAGATTTGTACTGCATATGTTTCTCTCATGAACTGACCAATGAGTTCAAATGTCTGAATCAATTAACTAAATAAATGGTGCACGATTTGTGACCCAAAAATGTGTCGCTCAACGTGTAAAACTCACCGTAAAAGAAAATACTCAGAAATACGACTTGCACGACTTAACTACTCCCCTATTGTCTCCCCACAATAATATTTAATTGGTGGCCACTCTACAATGATTCGTTAAATCCATTGCTTAAATTGTGCAGTTTTTAATTTTTTGTGAAAATTTAAGTGGTGGCTGAAGTAGATTTGAGTTACAAATGTGTTAATCCTATGGGAATCGTCATGTAAGGGCATATTGCCCCAAAGTCTGGAATTTACACAGTTCTGCAGTTGAGTAGACAACCTACAGTAGTTCACATTACCACTGCCTGAGCCTGCTCCCGAACAAGGGCCTGGTGAGGACACAACAGCTCTGTAGGTAGGAGGCGGAGGAGGAGGAGGTGTAGCTCGTGGGCCCTGTCCAAACTCTTTTGGGGATGCTGTTGACTCCATAGCATCCTCTTTTACTGAGGTCAGATCAGGAATCTTCTTGTCTTCCTCACTCAGATTCAGGGGCGGGGGGATGTTGCGTGTGGACTCCGCCGGAGGCGAGACAGTTGCGTTTGCAGCTGGCACGGGTGGGACAGGAAGGACAGGCAAAGCAGAGGAGGTGGACTCCGGCTTTTGTTTCAGAGGCACCACTGGAAGAGGAGGAGCAGGGGCCACAGGGGCATCTCTCCCAGGGGACTCATCGGAGAAGCTGACCCATTTGCTGTCTGAGGTCTCTGCTGCAGGTTTTGGAGCTTCAATGGGCCCAAAGATGTTGTCCAAGTCACTGATTGAGGGCAGTTTTCCACCTCTACCTTCTTTCCCCAATGTGTGGGCTGGTGCATCAAGGGAATTTGAAGATGGTTGCTTAGTTGCAAGGTCAGTGTCAGTTTTAGAAATTCCAGTATCTTTAATGGAAAACATAGGATCATTATAATAGGGGTGCAGATATTGAGGAATGGTATTTGAAAAAAAATCAATTATCACTACATACCAAAGATATTTAAAATAAGTGCAAATTACCTGCTGAATCTGATGAAGGGGAGCCACACAGGGGAGGTGTTGCTGGGACATTCTTAGGTGGAAGTGGAGGAGGAGCTAAAATTGAATCAATAGAATTGTTCATGATAAAGGCTGGAGAAAAAGATATTTGTCAGGTACCAGATCTGGCAGAAATTGGAATATAGTTCATATACAGTATACTGCATTTGCACCCTGTAGAATATGGAGACATACACTATTTCACATTTCTCAGAGAGCAGATTTGATGCAAAGATGGGATTCAGGTGGCATAGGTCTTAAAACTCCAGCAATTTCCACTTGGCAAATAGTACATAGCCTTTAAATGATGCATTTGAAAGAAAAAAAATATCAAAAGTGTTTTTAAGAATTTGCTATAAAGCAGCATTCAAAAATATTTATTCTAATTAAAGTAGGAAGAATACAATTAAGAGCACAACAAAGAGGTTTGTGCATAGATGGTTACTGTATAAAAACACGTTTTATCTTCAGTCCATAAAAAATATATATTTGTCCAATTCTCTTTATCCACATCCCCTTTGTATCCAATTAAATTGCAGCCCATTCTGCTAAAGCACTCTGAGTGAAGTGCCCAGATCAAGGGTGCGACAGTAGTGACCATCTGTCAAGCTACAACCTTAAATGGCTAGGACCCAGGCACTACTCCACACTGCTATGTATAAAACACCACACTGCAGCTTGTGAGGTTACCCTAAACCTCTGAAGCACTATTATAATAAAGAGCATTCCTGGTCAGTTTCAGGAATAAAAAAATTCTTACAGCAAAAATATTTGAAAATTAGGCAATGTCAATGGTCATGCAAAGTGACTAAAATGGCATGTATTTGCGATTACAGGTACAAGATTTCATTTTGGGAACATTTTGTCTGACTTTGGTAAGATTCAGCACTTGTTTTCAAATGTTTGCTTCTTTCCTGACATTAGGCAAATGTTAATGGGTTGAAGCTTCATGCTGTGCTGTTTTTGAAGGTATCCAATGTGATGAATCTTGCTGATTCCCATTTTTGGGGGGGTAAATTCCTTTTGAGTAAGACTTACTTCCAGTAGGAAATGGTCTTGGCAATGGGGAGTCTGGATTTGACTCAGTTTTAGGTACACCCCACACTTCAGGCTCATCTATTACCACTACATTGAAAAGGAGAATAATACATTGTAATATGAACAGACCCCTCAGCAGAAGTAAGAGCGTACTGCATAAACTGCTTTAGCTGAAAGTAAAAAAAGAATCAAAATAATTTTGCTACATTACTACAGGGTAATCACTCATGTTCATTAATGCATTGAGCTTTTTTACATTGGCAACACTTTGACCAGCAGCAGACCGTATCTCACTATGATTATACTAATCGTGGAGACTGTCTGCCCCGAAGACCAATAGAATTATCGTTGTGGGATTTTTTCCAGTTCTTAAAATGAGCTTTGGCAAGATCTAACCACCTTCTGCACGTTTTAGTTAAGGGTGGGTTAACTCTAGCACCTGCCAAGCTAATTATGTTGTACAACACATTTCTAGGCTAGGCTTCAGTTAATCCCACCTTAAATGACCTCCCTTCCTCCCGGCACCCACCTCCATTCAACTTCAATCAGACAGTCAGACTAGTTGATTCGAGAGCAATACCTTCTGTCTTCTGTGCTTCAAAGGCTGTTTCCAGTGGGGGCCCAAACAAGACTGTCGGATCCTCTGGTACTGCCGTACTGGTAGAACAGTAAGAGCAAGGAGAGTAAGCCGGCTTGCCCATGCACAAGTACACAAGAACATAAGCATAAACAGTTCATTGTAAAAATCAAGAATACTTGGCAGAAAACACGGAGATCAGGACAGGGTTTGGAATTTGTTCTCCAACCTGTCCACCTTCATCTATTAACACATTGCTACCACTTCAACTGTAACTCTTCACCTTTTATATTCAATTACCCCAGTAGTTCTACCAACTGTAAAACTTACACAGTGTAATTTCTACACCTGTGCAATTGTATGCAATTTGAGACATAAATCACAGATCACAGCACACTGCTACTTCCTTACAAAACGAATAATACTAACTTTGTAGGCTCTGGAGCGGGAGTAGGAGTGGATCGCCTTGGCCTTGCTATTTCTTCACCTATTAGGGAGATATTAATATAATCTTTATATTCATATATTATTTAATACCAGATGTAATATATATACTGTATATTACTTCATAATGTTAATGTAATGTTGATATCTAAAAATATCAATTAAAATATTGGAATTTCAGCTTCATAAAGAAATATAATACTAAATGTGTCTTAACTACAGTGATTCTATAAACTTAATTAAAATTAAATCTTGAATGCTCTCCCCCTCCTTGGAGGAATTCTCAAATTGTCACTCGTGTAACCTCCAAACATGTAGATCTTTTAAGTTTACAGAATGCAATACTTACTAGATAGGTTTCTTTTTATCAAACCCTGCAAATAAAATAATAAAAAAAAAATTAATGGACAATGTAAGACAATGTAATAAAATCTATTAGACACACCAAGCCTGTTCAGGTACTGCACTTAACCTCTGGGCTAGTAAAGTCAAGAAAGGCATTTTTACACAGAAATATCAAAAGTCTCCATTTGCGTAACATAAAAGGAATCCACAGAACTTTAAAGGTCAAATGTTGACGTCGCTAATATTCGACTATAAAGTTGTGATTAGCGTTTCCACCAGCGATGACTGATCTATGAACAAAACCAAGAGTATGACTAATTTATTTTTGTTCACAGAGGAATTTGTTTCCTGTTTTTTTCCATTAAAAAAAAAATCTGAAGAAATACTGATGCAAAATTTTCATGCGCTTAAGTGATATGAAACAAAATCATATGAAAACAAACCCCCAAAATAATTTTGAGTGCTGTGTATTGTTTACAGCTATAATAATCTACCAAATCGCAGAGTATTTCAGGTTGCGGAAGTTGTATAAATAATTGTATTAATTTCTAATACAACATTGTAATTGCTGGCATGCTATGCCTTTCAGGAAAATTATGTCCATATAATTTGAACAAATTGAACAAATATATCCAATAAATATCCAAGTTAATTTAAAATCTAATCAGTTACTGCAGTCTGGGGTGACAAATCTGGCCAATGAAGCACAAAAAAGTTCTGACACACCAGTTCCATATTACACACCAGCCAGTACAATAAAAAGTGTTGTCAGGCTGAGGAGGGTACTGTCCTTGACGACAACTGAAAAAAGTGAGCCTGTCTAATTGAGGGACTGCAGATAAATGGTTTGTCAATGGGCACATGCAGTCTTGAGCAGCCAGCCTCTCTAATACCGACAACTAGGGTAGGGTGGTCCCTGATGTGGTTTGTCTTTTGGAAAAACTTATATAGTCCCACACATATTGTATGATAGGATAGGATTACTGCAGTATGACTGTTAATCTGAATTTTGAACCACCAAATGGTTGGTTGTTAATAGACCTTTATACCCTGAAGTACATGTAACAAATGAGCTTATAATGATGCCCACATTTAAACAACAGAGCTTTGCACTGAAAATGAGACATGTACATGTGAGAACATTATACTTTCAATATAATGTAATATATATATTATTTTTTTGTGTTTGAGTGATACATATTTCAAGCTACAAAGACTTCTCCAGTAATGTGTAAAATAAAGTTTACATAAAGTAAAATTATGTAAATAACATGTACAGTATCTAACAGGGTGTAAGATTTTGATAAGTAACAAAACCATGCTATAGCTTCAGCATTTAGCTGTGTTGAGGGTGAAATGAAATGATCACACTCTGTAGCCTCACTATAAAATAACTGACAAGTTGAGAAACACCTTTAAATATTTTATTTACACATTTGATTATTGTTTGTTCCATTTAAGACTACTTACCGGACTACGTCTCTGTGACCAGCAAAAAGGAAGAGAGAAGAGACACCTGGTCAGAAAGTGACAAATCAGTAAACAGAAAATTCACCACTTCTACTGTATGTGTCACAGATTTTCCCTCCATAATACTACAAGAACAAAATATTTCTATGGACAAAAGCAACTAATGATGATTATCTTACAAGATGAATGCCAGTCACATGAAAATTCCAGATCCTCATGAAAATGTGCCTTTAATTAAACAAATGTTGAACATTCCATTCCTCTTACTGTGCATGTATAACAAACATTACAAAACAGGTTTTATTTTATAATGATACTATATATATATAAATCTTACAGATTTACTAAGAAGCCTCTATGTTTTTTTTTCTAGAAAATTAACACATTAGCAAAACTTGAAAATAAATAATGATAAAAAATACAATTTTTTCTTGAATTTAGGCTATAACTATCTGAACCCATGTTCTTCCTAATTCATATCAGTGAGCTAGATTCTGGTGAAGTTAGTAAACTTGGTCAATTTTGCAGACAGGAATAGCAAAAAAAGTAGAAGTTCAAAAATATTTAACAAAATTCAAGACGGAGCAAACACCTTACAGATGATATTAAATGATGTATTTAACATTTAATATTAACACGTGCAGAATATTACCACTCAGGCAGCAAAAACATTAAGTACAGATACAAGATGATAAAATGCATAGCTAGAATGTGAAATGTTTGAGGTGACATAGAAAAAGAACTTAGGTGCTTATGTTGAATATCATTTATATCTTCTAGACCAAGTAGGGAAGCAGTTAAATGCAAACAATGTTAGAATATATAGCAATAAGCCTAGAATTAAATCAAGGGATGTTATGTTAAAATTGTACAACTCTGTAGTAAGACTTTAATTTTGAATTTTATGTACAATTTGGTCACCATATTACAAAAAAAATAGCTGCTTAAAATTAATTAGTTTCTCAATCACAATTGCTGCTCTGGAACCAGTCTAGAGAAAAGCTTCCAGATACAACCCAGGGCTTCAGTGAATGTCCTACACATGCATTGGAGCTTTTTTAGTCTTGAACACAGAAGACTATATGGACCTGATAGATGAACCATAAAACAGAGTACCCTGTGGAAGAGCATTTAGAACTGAGATCAGGCAGCATTTCTACACAGAGGATTGTCAATGATGTTGAAGCAGACAGCCTGGTGTTTTTCAAGAAACAGGTGCAGGCCATCTTTAAATCTAACCAAATAGGCTAGATTGGCTGTTGTAAAACAGTTCTTATGCTTTGAAAAAGATTATGACAATGTAATGTAATAGGTTGACCTTATGTCTTATGCCAAGTCTGTATTATGGGTCTGTCCCAGGTGTTCTGACTTTTTAAAGGGGAGCTGTTTATCTTATTCTTCTAAAGAGAAAATTTAGCATTCCAGGCCAGAAATCAAAAAGGTGTAATGAGAAGGCAAAACCTTCACTTGGTATGTAGTTCTTGTATTAACTAGAAGACAAGTGTTGACATTAACTAGATTAACTAGAAGACAAGTGTTGACAGCTTTGCAATTTTAAAATACTTTGTGTTTTTAGCCCCATTAAATGCAATAAAAAGAACCAGAAAGAAAATGATGCTGTTATTTAACTAAATGGTTTTATTGTTTAAATAAAGCTTAAATCCAGTTATTCGGATTATTGGTCATTAAAAGCGTCATGCAATTGAAGCGAATTAGACATCAAAGTACTCTCTTCTTAATTTCGATTTTATACTTTGTAAATGGTAATGCAGTCTAGTAGATGTTCTAAGAAATGTCTGTTCTGGTGTTTGTAAAGCAAGATAAGACTTGTCAGGGAATCAATAAGATACTACTTTAATTTAAAACTAGACAGATTAAAATTAACAGGTCCAAAACATAAATGTAATTAAAACTGAGTCTGTTCAGCCCACATAGGAACAACAATCTGTCCAGTAAACATCAGTGTAAAGTCCAGAAGTCTTAGTAAATGATCAAGCAAGACTATAGATTTCAAGAAGAACGTTTACATAGAGAAATTAAACTCAAGATGTAAGAAAAATAAATAATTAAAATATTTTTGTTCTATGACACTATATACCAAGGACATGCAATCATGGTTATGGAAAGCTACAGTATGTGCAAGTATTCAGCTCTGGGCTTTTAACAAGCTCAATTGGCTAAATATGAGCTAAATTGCAGCAGTTAAACAGCTTCTATAAGATCTTCAGTTGCTGGTGCTTTAAAGTGAGCTTTAATGTGAGCTAAAAAACCTTCTGACACACATGCTTTCCAGAACCAGGATTGGGGACCTCTGCTATAGACAGAGTTACCGTAAATAAGATTCAAGATCAATAGTTGCTTTGAGGATTTCATTAACAGTCTAATAGCAAGTGTCTATAGTAATTAAAGTACAAGTTGTAGGCAATGTTTTTGGATTCTGTTACACCACACAAGATTTTATGTATTATGTATCCATCACAACCACACAGCTTGCAGTTTTCATACTGTATCAACTCAAACACTGTTTTGTGGCAGTCATAGTTTTTTAATCCTTTGAATAAAAAGGTTTGTTCTAAGGCAAGTTTGAAAACTCATTTTATTTGTTTTTAATTGTGTAAGTGACTGAAATCTACATATTTCTATTATTTTTTTGCTACCTATTATTCTATTATTTTTTTAATTCGTAGGGCTTGAGCCTGTAATATCATCATAAACTGTTTTCAAAAACGTTTCAGAAAAAAGATAATGGATTTCATTGTTTTACAATGGTTAAACACAGATCATCAGGGGCTGACTAGGATGAGATGCAAAAAAAATACAGTGGTACTGTGGATTTTATTTTTCTGTAGGCACCAGTGGGAAGAGGTTACATGCACACATGCAGTCATCTTACATGCATGGAAACCGTTCAGATCATTTAATTTGAACAGTGGAAGATTAAATACAAGCTTACCGGACTTCTCCTCTATAGAAGCCAAAGTTGAGAGAGAGAGTAAATAGCAAATCCTATGTTAGGTTAAATTACAAGACTACAATATTAACATTGTATGAAAAAATGGAAACCATGCTGGCATAGTTTTTTTAAAAGGCTCATGAGCTTTGCAGAGCACCTCAAGATATATAATATGGGCCCTCAATTCTGGAACCTCAATTCTGTGTGTCTGCTTGATCTGATTAATTACAGGTCTTTCTTTTCTTAATTTAAAAATTAAATGTTGCCTGGATCTGAAGCACCTGAAAATTTAAACCGGCCATTGCAGACCCCCAATGTGAAACAGAAATGTCTAAAAACAGAGTTTAGATCAGAGATTAAAAATAATTTCAAAATGATCAGAATAGATGAAGAGTAAATGAAGCAATGCATGATAATCAAGTATGGATGTATTGTAGATGAACAGTATACATTATATTCAATAAGGCATAAACAATGAAGAAGAGGACATTTAAATATATTTTTTTATTCCCATCTCTGCACATACCTAAACATAACCTACATATGCATTTTTATTTTGAGTCAAAATACAAAAAAGTTTCAACTTTTATTTACAGTTTATTTACATTTCTCCATTACTGGAGACCAACAGCACTTGTTATAAATCAATACTTTACAATGTATGGCAATTTCTTTAGAAGCAGACACCAACACAGCTAAAATATTGAATGAATTTTTCTACATTTCGGTTTTGTATTTTCTGAAGTAATTTAACAAACTATTCAACTCCAAGTGAAGCAGAGATGGAGAGTGGGAAGCCCTATTGTTCTGTAGTTTAGAACCCTGTTAACCTTTGCTCCAGCTTCCATTCTTCCAAATACATTTCATGGTCAATCTGTAGCTATGGTTACCACTTGGCAAAGACATGTTGCTGTGGCAACATTTGCCATGGAGAAGAAAGAAATGCTACTAATGTATAATTCATACAGAAATGTCATAGGTTACAAATGACAGTTAGACATTTCTTTATTTAATGCAAACAACAATTGGAAAAAATCTCTGGACACAAATATTTGTTTTCATTGATGTTTTCTGGAGTTATTTATGCCAGTGCTTCAAAACCCTTTGTGTTTTGTTCCTTAGTGTTTTCATTTCTTTGAACTAGCTCAGAACACATTGTATTTATTTAATTTTAATTACCCGAACAGCAATGAAAGCACACCCCCTTATTCTTCAACACCACATATTTGCTTTCAACAACACTGAGGATTTGGGAAATTAATCAGTCCAGGGGGAAGGACACTATCTGAATCTAAATAAATTTTAAAAGCTTCCTGTTTTAGATTACTTAAATCATTAATGCATCTTATTGCCTACTTACTAAGGTAACAGCTGGACATTCATATGGAAACACTTTCTAAATCTGTCCATGCATTTCAGAGCAAACGTCTGAAAAGAAAATGGTTTCCTTGTTAGGCCACAAAATTACATTTTGAAATAGAGGTGATCCGTTTCAATCTTCAACAGCTACTGTATATGGAGGACTCCTATCATGCGGACACATAAATGAACCAGATGGTTGCTTAATTGCATGGGATTTCCTTTGTTAATAAATTAACCGTTAACAAGAGCCTGCTTAAACCAGTGCATTATAGAATTTGATTATTTCCTTACAACATGCCATTATGGCATTGTCAGAAAACTGAAACAGAATTTATGTCTACACCAATAGTAGGCTAATTATACTACTATCACACAGAAAATGTTATACAAAATCCTGCCAAAAATCAAGGATTAATTCTATCAGTGCTACTTCGCATTTGTCTATGCATTGAGCAGAAAGTACCTGCACTGTGATTCCAGCTGAAATGTCAACATCTTACACTTATACTTGCATGACTGCTGTGTCATGTATTGACATTCACAACGACAGTGCAAGTATTTGACAATGCTTACGCTGATGTGTGTTTTCTTGTAAGAATCTAGTGTGCCGCAGGCATGATGCTCTGTACAGTAAAGCTTTTCTTGATAAAAGCAAGTGACATATGGATGAGTTTTCATCTGTGCACGTGGGAGGAAGTCTAGCTTTTTCTTAATTGATTTAAGAGTAACAGTGACCATGTCTACAAAAAGTGTGGCTTCTGCTGCATTTCATTTTCTTTTTCATTTGTGGATGATCTTATAAAATCAGCACACAAACAAAGCAAGTCAATTATTATATATATAATTATTATTATTATAATAAATATAATGGATTTTTCAGTTTTTTGTCAGTTTTGACTTTAAGTAATAAATCAAAGGCAATCAAAATAAAACTGAAAACCTGTGTGTCACTTTAATGAAGGAGCATGATATGAGTCTGTCTCTGCTCATTTGAAAGTCTCAAAATGTGTTTGTCAAGAATGAAGTAAAAAACTCGTAGTTACAAGCAAAAAGAAACTATCTGCCAGATGGGATGACTGTTTATAATACCATGAATATACAATACATAAAGTGACAGTACCAACATTATTAAAACATCTAAAATTAACCTTGTCTGTGGTTTTCAATATCATTTGTGTTTATATGTGTTGTTTTATATCACATTTTCAATGTGTTAATTTAAGTCTGACCAGTTTGAGATGTCTGTGTTTTCTGTACCCAAAAGGCTGTAAATCTGCAGCTGTAGTTCACAGAGCTTTACTGTGAATTGCTTAGTTTCCAGATTTCTCAAATTTCAGACCTCTGCAAGGGAATAATATTTAACACTCTTCTTCCATTCCTTTGTGCCTAATAGCAGATTCCAAAACTCCTGCTTCAATGGATTCTGTTAACAAAACCCATTAATTAAGAGAAGACCACAATGAATGGCAAGAGACGAAACTCAGACTTAAAATTACCCGAATGTTGCCCATAGCTTTCAGGTAAATTGTGACAAAAGTTGAATTAAAAATATGAAATGATTGTATATTTATAGAAAATGAAGAAACTCACCACCGGAGAGGGAGACAGGGCTATGTTGCCTATGGATGCTTTTAGTTCATCTACTGAAGCTGCGGTATTGTTTAAGGTGTCTTTAGCTTGCAAAGGTTTGATCTTAATCTTAAACTTTTTCCTGTGATCTTCCTCCTCTTCTGACTCACTGGAGGAGAAGAAGTGTTTCCCTTTGGTGGTGGGTGAATCTTAGTTAAGGAAATAGCAAAAATAAATCCAAAAATAAATATAGAGTCTAGTCCTATAAAATACAGACTGAATTGGAAAGCTAGAGTTTCTGCAGCAGAGTTCTCCTCTATATACTATATACCAAATCCACTACTTTATATTCCCTATAAAACGAACCTACTGTATATATAACATTTTTTACCATATTTATAGATAACCGTATGTAACTATGACATCTTCTGTGACAAATTTGCAAACCATAACTTAAGCAATAACCTAGTACTGAATATTCAAGTAGGCTAGTTCTGGTGAAAGCATTTGCACAGCTTGTATTCAGACTCAAGTATATGTTTTTTTGAAGAATCAAGTCTGATCTTATCCAGATCTTACCCTCCTACTGCAGCCCACACTACTCTTTGGGACACTGTAATAAATTGGCACCTCCAAATGCCATCAACCTGCCAACTGGCTTCACCCACGGAATTTGACCAGTAGTGCTTCTCTTCTGTATGTCCTCCATGGATAAGAGGCACTGAGAAGTAAAACTTCTACCTCCAACCTACCTCCCCCTAGTCCCCACATTTTAAGTTACTGCCTCTCAGAGTCCTTCACAGTCTTGTAAAAGATAAAATGATAAACTAAAAACAAAACACATCTTTTCCAGATAATGCACTCTAGTGATCTTTGAAGGTGGCAACATTAAGGATATTTCCTGCATCCTCCTCTGGTCTAATACTGTATCCCTCATCATCAACTTCCGGGGAATTCTGAAATGAAATAACATTTAAGGAATAGAGAGAGTAAACCGCTACATCTTTTCAGAAAGAACAGGTTTGTATAGCCTGCAAAATATAACAACAACAAGAACAACAACAGTAATAATAATAATAATAATAATAATAATAATAATAATAATAATAATAATAATAATAAAAGGTGATGAGTACTTACATATCGCTCCCAGTCAATCTCTGCATAAAATCCATTGGGAGCTCCATTCGTCTTTTTCTGCATTTGACAGGGAATGATTGGTTTAGAAACTTATCATACTAAGTGGTCCCTGATTGCATAAGGAATGGTACCTGTTTATTGTTCATTTCAAAAAGTGCATGTAGAATATTTATTTTGCTTGCTCATTGAGATTCAGATAATATTTATTCCCCAGGTCCCCCCCAGTCACACTGATTTACACCAGAAATTATGCTAGTTTGTTATTATAATTCATCACATTAATAAAGGACCTCAAAGCAGTTTACATATATAGGGAGCCACTTCCTTCCGCTTAGGTGCAGTACCAACCTGGGAGACACGTGGCAGCCATCACGCACCAGCAAGCCCATGGCACAAAAGCAGTGAACATGTGCAGAACTAAGAAATTACTCACCAACTGACTTACAGGTAAGTCAGAATGTGCAAGTCCAGTGGGGAATTCAGCTAGGACATTGGGGTTAACTAACCTTGCTTGGACATACATTGCCGTGTGATCTTCCTGACCAAATAGTCAGGAACTTGAATGAAAATCTCATCTGAAGTTCTCCTACAGCACGCTTTCAGTATTCACAACGGAGAATTCTGTTCTGGGGTAAGTTCTGGTCCAGAGAAAAGTGCGTCACCTATTAGCGCACCAACACTTACTACTGCATTCTGATTTTCCCTGGAGGTCTCCTAACTCAGTACTGAGACCGAGAGTACTGAATACTGACGAGGCCCAGTGTTGCTCAGTCTCTCTGATGAGATTAGGCTTAAAGGGGGTAATGCTACTCTCATGTTATACTTGACAACTTTCAGTCCGTATTTTTTTCCTGAAAACTGTGCACATTATAATCAGCAATAAAACTCACAAAGAATGTTTAAATGCCTAATTAACATTAAAATATAATACTTACACTTCCATCTCTGTCTGGTGATCCTCTATAAAAGAAAAAAAAAACATTAATATTATGAAAAGATAGGATATGAGTTATGTGGGCTTTTAGTGGTCTGAATAGATTTAAACACAAATGTGCTGTTTTAACTGATAAGTCTTAATACTACATACAGTATAGTGCATAATAGCTCATATGCAATGTAGAGGCATGATTAACCAAAATTCTAACTGAAATAACTTGCAAAGCTCAAACAAACCAAAAAAAACAAAAGAACAACACTCAATACAAACCCACAAACTGACCGGATTGATAACATACTGTAAACAATGTAGTTTTTCATTCATGTTTTAGTGAAAGTCTACTGTTGATGGTTGACTTCATAGTTTTCTGCTGTTGAGTTCCCATGCTATAGCTCTAGGGACAGGGTCTGATTCAGAAAACTGACTTACTGTATATTTTACTTAAAATGTAATATGTAAATATCAATATCCACAAATTCTGGTTGATTACCATTGTTGATAAGCATTCAGAAAACGTTAAGAAATACTCTCCCTAGAATAGTTATAATTGCTTGAATTTGTATTAATCAGCACTGATAGTGAATTAGTAGCACTGTTATCTGGGACAGTGTCCTTTATCCTTAGAATTCACTTCAAGTTTGAGTTCACTTCAATAATGATGTACTTAATGTTAGCAGCCTGATAGAAAGGAATTCCATCACTATTCATTATTATACAGCATATGCTATATCATTTTTTCACTGACAATAAATAGCTACTAAATAGCTTGATAAAGTTGATGAAAAGGGAATAATAGCTCATCCCACAAGACAACTTTTACTTGTTTTGATCTGAGCAACTTCAAAATGAAATGTCTAGTTCTGTAACAAAAGAAACAAAACAGACAAATAACATACAGAGCAAGTATAAAATATGTGGTGTATCAGCCATGCAAACCATGTCTTTCTTGTGCATACTGTATTCATGTTCTGTATACATACAGTGAGAGAATAGGTTTAAAACAGATGCACAAAGTGTTACAAATAAAATGAGTCCACTTGGCAATAGTTAATAGCTAATTGATGTGAGGACCTCATCCAGCTGTTTCTTGAAAGAAGCAAGGATATTGCCTTCAGCAACATGGCTGGGTACCTTGTTCTACACTCCCACTACTTTGTAGGGGGAAAGAAGCACTTCCTGTTCTTCCACACTTCCATGTTATTTCCACGTGTTCAGATTTCACTGTCCCTCCTAAATCTGAAAAAGTCTGTCGGGTTAACTTTGTCAGTGCCCTTAAGGATTTTGAATACACGCATCAAGTCCATTCGTAATCTTCTCTGCCCAAGACCGAAAATGTTCAATTAAATATCTTTGTCACATGGCCACTATTTCCTTTCAGAAATCTATTTTAAATACTGTAGGTGCAGGCACGGTTTTTCTATGTGACATTTCAAAAGGAGCCAAAGTGGGCAGATCCACCCAATTTACTTACGTAGAATCAGTGTCCTTTTCTTTCTTCCGTATGCCAAAGGCCTTTCTTGTACGCTTTTTCAATCCTGGGGAGCAAATAAAAAAATACCATTCAACTTCATAACTGCACACATCAAAAAGCCAGACATCAAAGGGTTACTGTGTGTATACTGTATGTACCGCTACACCATTGTTTTCAGCTTTTCTGTACACAAGAATAAAGGTAATGTAAGCATGCAAACCTGTGTCAGAAACTAAGATCTATTGGCATTGCATCAAAGGAAAATGTTTGATTTATTATTTACTGAAATGCGAGGCTATAAATAAAAACATATTTTAGATTTCAAGCAACTGAAGCAATCAATAGAAAAGAATCCTACTGGTTAGACTGAAGTGCATCTGATTTATTTTTCTCTGTTCTAAAATCTCATTTTTACCCATATTAAAAACAAACTAAAATCTATACATATGTATGCATGTTTCCATAAATAATGTCCTTTGAAGGAAAGATTTAAGAACTGTGTTTTAAATTTATTATAGCTTCTGGTATAAAAAGCAATGACAATTTAGAACTTTGGCCACTTAGACATTATGAGTTTCCACTCAGATCTGTATTCTTAATACCTCATTATCTTCACCTAAACTACATTTAGTGCCAGACTGAAAATCCTAACCCTCATGACCTGACTTTCCTGAGTAATGAGTGCTGTGCAGGCCCTTGACACCTGACAGAACGCTTTATAGTACTATCTGCAAAGCATGGCATATCATATTACTCTCCCAGAAAGTGCAAAAAGGCCAATCTTTCCTTTCCTTTTTTTCTTCGTAGTAGCTGGGTGGTATTTGAATACAGCCAAAGAGGACTCAAACCATACATTCCACAGTTACTCCATATGAAAGTAAACTATATACCCTTTTACATCTCTTGTCAGGATAAAATTGCTACGTACTGTATGCATAGCCTATATATCAAAATTAATATTTAAGTTACCACCACCTCATCATTGTATTTTGAATTGCTTTCTAATTCATTGTGTTTCATTTACTTCTTCAATAAATATATACTGTACAATACATATAAGATTCCCAAACCTCCATATTCCTGGTTCATAGCCTACTGTTGGAGCACTTAAACATTAAGATACTATTTTCCACATAATGCTAGCAGGTCTGTTTGAAATTGTGATCTGGGCAGGCATAGCAAGTATTATTTTCTTTGCCCAGAGGGCTTTGGCTAGATACAGTATAGGGGTCTGCTGCATTTATAACTTATAAATAAAGCATAAACTGGAAACAGCTGAACCACATCTATAAAATTGTAATAAACTGTCCCTGATATTTCTGAGCTACAGTCAATGAAATCAAACAGTAAATACTAAAACAGTGTTGAAATCAGCATGGACCTGCAAGAACATAAGACTATACTGTACATGAGAGGAAGCCATTTGGATCCTTTAGCCAATTTGATAGTTAATTGATCCAAGTATCTCATCCAGTCTTTTCTTGAAAGAAGCCAGAGTATTGGCTTCAATGCATGACTGGGGAGTTTTTTTGCCATACCCCCACAACCCACAAGTATTACATGTGTTTTTAGACAAGAGAAGGAATACAGACAAAGAAAAACAAGACATTGTACAAAAAGCTAATCCTCTGGATACGTTTTGTCTCCTAAACCTGCATTAATTTGGAGCCACAAATTTTGCAAATTTGTAAAAGGCGTGACAAATTTACCCTCAACTTTTTATAGCATAATGGTCATTCAGTTCATTACATTAAATAGTAAAACTATTTCTTTTGTTTTAATCAGAAATCCTTGCTTTTTATCCTTGTCATATTGCAGAGCACAATCCCAACCCACACCCTGTAGGTCAAACATGCAAACAACATTCCAAATTTACAAGACAATTTATTTTTGGTAAATTTGTCTCTGCACATACAGTACAGTATATATTATTACTGAAAACACAAAAAAAGGCTACATAGACATGTAGTGGTCTGAATAGTGGCTTATGTTTAAGGCAGAAAGAGTTATGCCAACAGTGTCAAAGAACATAAAAAGGGTGGAGGACAAATGCATACACCAAGGTCTTCATAATTCAAAATGTTATTAAGTTAATATCCAGTCTTTAATTTACTCTTGAAAAGTCCTAGGCTTTCTGAAATTTAAGTAAAACGGATATGAATTATTATTTGATTATATAGTGTGCATGTTTCCTTTTTATTGACATTGAACTAAACAAACCTATAAATAACACAATGATGGTACTATACAGTGTACAGTCATTCCTAATGCAATTTGCAAACAAATAAGGAGAAAATATTTTTCATCCTTTAATGCAGGATTAATTTGTGGAGATGAAAAATAACGAGCTACCAACATTGTCGGAGCAAACTGTTTCAAATTTGATTTGTTTTAGTACAACTGTGGAAATGGTTAACATAATCAGGAAGTAATCTTAAGGACAACATAATTACATTAGTAACCAGCAACAGGACCTTCAGAAAACCAGTATTCACAACAATTATCATATAAGAGCAATGTAGTAAACCAGAAAAACAGCAAGAAAAATGGTCAGAAAAGAGAGCCCAGGAGGCTTAATTGCATACTATGATATTTTAAGTCAATTAGTAAGAGCCTTTTTAATTACTAATTTTGTAATTAATAACTATCAATACAAAATGCTTATGTGAACAGAATTACCATAATAAATATTTGATTAGCACAATATATCAGATTACATTTTGTCCCATTGCTATATACATTCTGTACACTTTGCAGTGACTGAAGATATCGTGACAATTGTATTATTGATATTAAACACTATCCACATAACATATACATTAAAATGTGCCTATTTATTAGTTATCTTTCCACAGCTTAGCAAAATAAGGTATTATAGTTTCCTTAAAGAAAATTCCAAGGTGAAACTATGAATAATAGTGCATAAACCCAAATAAATTATATTAATAAATACCATGCAATACATCAAAAATGGAGTGTAATGAGTGTTACCCAGTGAGGTCTTAACATTATCGCAGGCATAAAAATGAAATCTTAGGCCTGAGCATATGACATAATGAGAGCAGAAGGCTAACACTTTGCTACAAAGGAATTCAGCTCTACAGTGATTGACAGTCAAGATATTCAAAGACTCAGTGAAGCTTCACATGTGGTATGATTCATCCATATTCTGTTCTTCTGAGAAGGCTGAAGGAGCTCCTTTGAATCTCTGTCATCAAAGATTTCATATCTGGAATGAAGCAGAACCATGAAGGGAGTCCTGTGTCACACAGACAACTGTGTCACAGGAATTTGTGCAGTTTCTATGATGTTATACATCCAGTAACCCTTTTTGTTCATCTGTGTAAGCTACACTTCATGACAAAAAAAGTACTTTAGCAAATTAAAAACCACATTAAAAACCATAGCAATATTTGAGTTGTGCTTTTTTCCTGATAACAAGCAACAGCAGTTTAAGAGTTATCCAGAATTCGGCAGTCAGAATCCTGTCCATGTCTTGTGCAAGTGATTAAATCACTCCTATCTTGGAGTCCTTGCACTGGCTTCCTATTAGACTTTATTAGGTTCTATTAGGCTTTGTGGCCTTCAATACCCTCTTGCTCACTTATGAGGCTCTACATGGCTTCATGGCTCTACATGGCACTCCAGTATCTGTCTAACTTACTATTGTCCTACTCCTCACCTCACAACCATTGCTCATCTAATTCTTGTCTCCTGTCCGTCCCAAGACTGTCTACATTCTCTGGATGACAGGGCCATCTCTTGCTATGCCTCAAAGCTCTGGAATTCTATCCAGCTCTAGAATTCTATCCTTAAGGATATTAAAAAGTCAATTTTCCTGAGCACTTTAAAATCAAGATTCAAAACCTTCTTCTTTTGGGCTTTTATTTAATTACTTTTGAATCTGCACTTTGCTTTCCTACTGTATTCCAAACTCTTTTTAAATCTGCGTTATTCTGCTGTCTCCTCTCATTGTGTGATTTGTTTCTTATTATAAGGTGCTTTGAGAAGCCACTTTTAAAGGTGTTATAAAAATAAAGTTAAGTATTACATTACTATTATTAAAAGTAGCAATATTTATTAATGGTAATAAACTAGTGATTGTTCCTGTTGCTTGTGTTTAATGGGAAAGTTTATAACTAATGTTTTAGGTTATACATGTATGCTTTCCTTGTAGGCTTATATTTGTTATGTGTAATGTTTGATTAATAAATGAATGCCTATGCTGATATACAAAATGTCCATTCAGCTACTAACTAAAAAATTAAAAGTGG